TCTAAGTTACTCATTTTAATCATATGAATATTATAAATGCGAAAGTTACGATGGATGGATGTTTGTTAGCGTTTGAAGCCGAAACGGCTTATTGGATCTCCATGAAATTTGGCACAGGTTTGGAGCATAGTCTGGAAGAACACATAGGCTACTTTTCATCCCGGAAATAGTTACGGTTCCCGTGGGATTCATTAATTTACTTTTTTAATGTTTATTCGATCATTCTGCAACGGTTCAACATATCTTATTGAAATTTGGCACAGATATAAAACAAAGTCTGGAGTACACATGGGATAAGATTCATCCCCGAGAAATGTCCGGTTCCCGAGGGATATGTAGCTTTTTGTTATTTAAATAGTACGTATGTTTTCTAGTACCACGCGGACGAAGTCGCGGTCAACAGCTAGTAGTTTATAATAGTATGCTTATTGTTTCACCAATTTAGATAAGATTATAAGCTAACAATAAGGCAGTGGTTAATTTTTTTATTCACAGAACTGAGAGGCGTTCCGTGTACTTCAGTATTTAGTACAAGTAACACTAAGAGTCTCTCTTAAATTAAAATTAAGAACTGAATGTAAAGTAGTTAATTTTAATTCGCATTGTTCAATGGTTTGTTGGAATAAATTTTGTTATACGTTTATTTTATACGTAACGGATTATGTAGACATTGTTGCATTACAAAGCCTTATAAGTTCTCGCTGCCAGTAAACATTGCTAATCTCTTGCTTCCGACATTTTGTTGCTGTTATATTTTGTACAGGCGCTAGTTTAATTCATCAGGCAACCACGAAAAATGAGATAGAAAAAGAATTCAACACATGTTCGTAAAACAATTCGTATTTGTTAATCAGAAATAAAATATTTTAATCAATCTGAGGTCGTTATAATCATTTTTAAATATGGAATAACCAAAATACTGATTGCAAAGAAAGAAGTCGATTTGGGAAAGTATTCGATTGTTTAACGCATTGGAAATGATAAAAGAAAAAAGACTAAAAGAAAATATTTGACAAAAATAGACTGAAGAAATGAAGACACTTTATTCAGTAGTAGTAAGTGCCAGGTTTTAAATTTAACACGAGGTTTTAAAAACATCCATCCATCCATCTAAATTTTCGCATTTATAATATTAGTACGATTTTATTGTTAGTAACATTGCTACTTTTATAGGTGTTCGTTCTTTAGGTATTATACAAACTTTATCCGTTTAGACACGCGCTTCAACATTGTCTGCTTTGCGGGGTGTCCGCATTAGCCGTGTTAAAATTACATTGCACTAAGAGCGCGCACACTTTTAACTAAACTATCGCACAATTGTTGTGCGATTGTCAATTCGATTGTGTTGCAACCCAAGTGTTTAGTTGTATAACAGTGTGCGAACCTCCATATAAGCTGATAGGAAATAAAGTGCGACTAAACAGTCATGTGATAGCTTAGTGCGCGCTCTTAGTCCAATCTAATTTTAACACGGTTAATGCGGAAACCCCGCAGAGCAGACAATGTTGAAGCGCGTGGCACACGCTTAAATCCTAAGATCTTCGTGGCTCTAGTCACCTTTCGCCACGTCTCCTTGATTGGTGTAAAGTAAAGTAAGTAGCGTTTATATACATCTAACAGCGACCACAGAATATGTATTAAAACATATTGTTTGTCTCTGTTTTTTTACTCAAGAGTAAGTAGACCTGTGGAGACCCATTCTGTTCCGAGCCTTGGACATAAATAAATCCGTGATCATAACTAGGGTCACATCGTTCCCTTGCTCCTTTCATATGTCAAAAAGGTAATGAGGTATATCTATAGCCAAGGTATAAAATTTAAGGTGAATATGAAATCGCCGTTAACTTACAACTGTCGGTGATCGTCACCCGGATAATGTGGATTGATTCCCGTCGGCTCAGAGCAGACAAATTCGATTTGCGAGCGCGATGCGAGATTTGACGCCGTGAAAAATATGCGGAGATTTTGTGTCAAGGGTGCGGACGATTACGTGGATGAAACTTCCTATTTTCATTCTGCTACGTTTTATGTCAGGCGACTGATTTCTTTTCGTGGTAAAATATAAGGTATTTCCAAGACTAATATAAGTGAATAAAAATAAAATGTGAGTTAGAAAATCTTTTTCTCATTGAATTTGAAATTTAACTGATGTCATGTGCTGTTCACATATGTGAACTATACTATACTATATGATAAGGCATTAGGCGTATATTGATACTTCTTATAATTTTGACAAGAATTAATTTCATACAAAAACAAATCAAGAGCTAAATAATTGAGATTAAAGCCTTATAACGTTAAGATATGTTACTACGAGATATTACCATATTTAACAATTAAAATGTTAGCTAGAGCCATTAATAACTTTAAACATTTAAGTACCCACTTTAAGCTATAAAGGAGAATAAGTTAAGGCGGAACAGCGATGTGAGCCAAGTCCGGGTCTACGGCGTAGCGAGCTACGCGGGACGAATAAATCGCACTCGGCTTTTCGTGCTCCCGATCGATTTAGACCGAATGTGACGTTAAAAGTTATCATATTTTATTTTACTCTATAAAAATACTTGAATGTCAGACCGTAGTCAGCAAAGATTAAGCCAGAAAAGGATAGGAAATTCGGAGTTATCAAGATAACTTAGAAAAAATTCGTTGTAGAAACAATCTATCTATTCATTGCACACCTGGTTTTTGAGTTCTTTTATGTAACAAATTAGATATGGTATAAATTTTACACAGTATTTAACTTTTTTGGTTTGGAGGTATTTTTTTTGTATTCAGATTAATTATCAAAAACACCAGCCGCATTTATTTCAAGCAACAAAATATTCGCGTTCGTAAATAAAACGATACTCCTGATATAGAGCTAACATTTTCACACAAAGCTTCCGACTTAGTCTTGTCGTGAAAACTCTATACAGTCACGCGTTGTTATTATTTCCCAACATATTTCTTTGCGTAGCACGTCCTATTCTTTCAGATATACCGTCATAAACTAAATCCAATAATACAACAGTCTACTTTACAGCTGTAGTATTAGGACTTACTTTTGCTCGTTCATTGTACTTAGAGAAAGTTCCTTTGGATCGCTGTTTTGTCTTCGCGTCACGTCTTAGGTTCGGTTCCCCGGTCGACGTATACTTTCTATATCCCTTCTGTACCTTGCGTTTTGTTCTTATTGCGTTGTATTAGACGTGACAGCGTCGGCATTATTAAATATTTGCGATCATTAGTGTGACCGGGATCAAGGGATCGTTATCCGTTTGTTGGATTTATTGTTGATTTGGAAACCAGAGTTAATACCACGTGGGAAATGCTTAGAGGTCGATGATTCTTTAAGATTAACATAAGATAAAAATTCTTTTTTAGACTGCAACTATCTAACTGTGTGAATTTTTATTTTTACTGTAATATTATTGTCTTGTTTTCTTGAAATTCTTTTAACTATAATGTATAGTTAAGTATAATAGGTACCATTAAATCAATAGATCTTTTTATCGTATGACTTTTTATTTTAAACAAATTTAATATAAAATAAACACGACCAGTTGATAATAACAGGCGAAAAATGTTATAAAACATCCATCGCTCGCGACTGCGGCCGCGTGGAATTAAGAAAAAAAGAAAAATTAGTAACTCATGTGTTACAACTATGCCAAATTTCTCTAACATACAAACATCCATCTGTATTATACTTTTGCATTTATAATATTAGTGAGAATTAAGATAGCAACTCTTGATCTAAATGCGTATTGTTTTTCAAAATCCTTTTATTAAACTTGAAGTACGGTGTTGCGGTATCCATGAATAAATAACGATAATTCAAAATTCCCACCGTCCCTGAGGTGGAATCGCGAAATCTTTTGGGACAAGAAACTTTTTTCCCCCGTTACGTAAGAACAAGTTCTCCCCTGTTAAGAGGGCGGCCTATTATCTTTCATTTCGCCAGTAATTTAACATTCAGCGTACGCCTCGGAAAAATCATGCTATCAAATACATTACCCTCCATTTTGAGGGTGACAACTTTTTACTTGGAAATCTTCCAATAATTTGCGGAAGTACCAGCTGGTTAGACTATAACGATTATCGGGCTCTAAAAAGATTCCGGCTTTAGCTGTTTACGTACTGTTGGGGGAAAGGAATAACATTATCGTGAAATCCCGCTTTAGATGAAACTTCGAAGCTTCTTATTGAACATTTTTCCTATATTTTTGTGGACAATTTTTAAATCCGTATTGATTTTTTATATCATAAGGTGGTAAATGAACAAGCGGTCACTTGCATTGAATAATGAACCGCTATCAATAGACATCTGAAATAAAAGTGGCGTTTTTTAATCGTGGAAAAAGATGAAACACATAAATAAAAAAGAATTCACTTCCTTTGCTTCTCCTACAGCGTCAAGTCCATTTCCGCTTCCTTACAAAGGTTGAGATAAAAAGATGGACTAAAATTAGGCCTTTGATATATGAGATTTTTTTCACGTTGATGTATGCAAAAGTAAAACAAACTGGTCCGACTTTACATGTTTTTTACAGGTTTTCGTATTGCAAACTGTAATTGAATCTCTATTACTTTTTTTTAAAATCTAATATTAAATAACGAATCATTTATAGTTGAAATTGAACATAGTCCGAGAGTTTAACAAATTAAACGACATTCGCAGCGATTACAAATTGTGATTCGGTCCAACTGCATTCGCTTAATTGAAAATTTTCGTTTGGATAGATACGTAGCCACTTCCAGCGTTTTAGACTTCCGTACGATGATTATTGAACCTTATTTCTTTGTGATAGAGACCACAATCGAATGATTAAGTGCTAACAATTTTAGATGTAGTGGATAGTGTGTGAATTTGAGATGTGTTCAATGATCAAATCACTTAAGTAGTAATGTAGCAATACACTGTGAATCCCAGGTTACGATTATCAGGTATAGGATTTGGGAATAAAAAAGTCTAAAGATATGATAGAACAATTTATTTTTAAACTAATACGAACGCATAGTAGAATTTAGGATATATATTTATAATATAATGGTATAATAACAAAACATTGACAATATAAAGCCATAACTAAGTTCATCAACATTTCATAAAGCCGTAGTGATTGCGATCGAGTATGTACACACGGACGAGCCGACTGAATAATTGTACGCTATATTACAATATCAAAATACATATTAAAGCTATGAAGAACATGGCCAATGACAACAGTCTTATTCCTAAAATGTTATAAATAAATCAAATCTTTTCCGAACATATCTAAACTGATTTTTAGGTTATCTTTTTTAATACTAGATCTGTTAAACTTGCAGAAGGCTCTTTAAAGTATCAAAATACAGAAATAATTCAAGTTATGATAATTTAAATGGATTACATTTCAAACTTTTGCTCATTTTAAGTAGTTTAAACAAAACATATTGGCCTTTTCCCAACTGTCAACATTTTTTAGATAATATGGCAGCCTGCTTAGTATGAGGTCACTGACTGGGAAGACAAAGGAAGACTATTCAATTTGATTATATTTACTGTTTATAGCAAAGTTAATTTAAGACGTTTGTCTACAAAACGTACGACTATAAAAGTACAAAATGAGCAAAAATAACAGTCAAGAGGTTTTTCAACACGTCTGTATTTACAACATTGTCAAAAGACGTTTATAGATAATTAGTCTTAAGTAAAGACGGGGCTACAAGCTTTCGTTAAGATTAGAAAAATACGGTGGTAACCTCATTGGATTAGTGCCAAGCCTTTGTTGTATAAATACGAGTACACCTAGAGTACAAAAGCAGTCTCCAGATTAAATTCGGTAACGTAGCTTAATGATATAAACCATTTAGAATTTGAAACACTCAAAGTACAAGCTTCTTGAGGAATCGATGATATTATTGAAAGTTAAAAATCGCTTATTTCAGGATCGGTATCGGCGTATTTACAAGTAAAAGGATTTCTTAGCCAGGAACAAAAAGATCGATCGCTGTGTTGCTTATACTTCGCTGTCGTATGTTTTTTTGCATGAGCTCGCGCCACAGCAGCTCGTCTTGTCGGGTAAGAGTCGAGAGATGACGCATCCGAATCTCTAGGTACTGAATCATAACCTGATTCAGCCCGCCTTGATGTAGCTGCTGGACTATGCTTCCCAGTTCTCGGCGTCGATTCATGCCCGCTGTCGTAACCGTCTGGCTTTGAACTCGCAACTACTCTTGCGACGACTTTATCACCTTTCTCGCTTTTATCTATACGAGGCTCGGTTGTTACTACAGGTGGTGTGACTTCAAGGTGTAAATTTGATTTTAAATCTCTAAATGTACTCGATGGAGCTCCATTACCAGGGATTCGTTTTTCTTCTCTTAAATTTGGATCGGACGCTCCGTCTGGATGCCTCAAGGAAGCAATTCTGGCATCAGTTATGTCGTTTCCTCGATATCTTTCGAAAGTACCGTAATCGTTATGGGGTACGTCCAAATCTTGATATGCACAGTCGTCAACGGCACTTCCAGGTCTCGACATGGATCGTTTACAACTGTTACATATTTTATCACTCGGCCTGTATGCAGGTTCGCTATAAACGGAACCGTCTCCATGATATTCTTCCGTGTCGCGAACATTGCATAAGGACAATGATTGAAATTGTGGAGCGATTCTAGGATTAGGAACATCATTGCCATCTAGTACTCTACGTGAACCATATAATTCTGTCAAACCTAATATATCATCTATTCTTGACCGGGACGATTGTAAGCTTTCGTGAGGATTAATATCGGCTAAAGGCTGATCGCCACTAAAATGTTCTGCGTAAAAACCTAATTGTCTTAGATATGATTCGTTTCTTAATTGTCTTTCCACTTCACTATACAGCGATAGAGTATCAGTGAACGTTGATGCAACTGTAAGATTTTCTTGGCTTAGTATTCTCAATGGGTGATCATCGCCATCTTCATGTTCCATCCCTGCCATAGGATGTTCTGCAAGACCCATACAAAATGCTATATCTTCTTCGGTAACTTGTAGACAACTGTCCTGCATTGGCACTGGTTCTAAAGGTTCTTCGACTTCAATTATTTCTAGCATATCATCCTCGTCGTCACCAGTTAACCTACTAAGTTGATGTGCCTCAATATCTCTACTTCGATTAGAAAGTAGTTCCTCGTCCATTCTTAACCGTTCTTTATACTTTGAGTCCAAGCTCTCCATTGACACTTCCCTACTACTCAAACTACTAGGCTGTAGTAAGGGAAGTGCAGGAGGTATTTCTGCCAATTCTTCACTATCGTCGTCATCATCTTGTTCGTTTTTAGATGCAGACTTAGTACTGCTTGATCTTCTCAAGGTGTGATCTGTAAACGGAGGCCCTATGTTTTCTTCTTCTATCGTCATTCCTTTTGATCCAGCCTTTAACCCAGTTCTTATAGTGGATTCTTCAACATGTATTCTTCTAGAACTGTCTTTTACTGGTTCCATTTTATGAGTTGTTTCTGGATCATCGGGAATTCTTACTCCTGGGTCTCTGTGTCCAGTTTGTATTTTGTGGCTTGGTGAATTGTGTCTTGATTTATGTATTTGAGAGGTTTGGTTTTCTACCCACTTTCTTATCATATTCTTTTTATGATTATCCATATATCCGTATCCAAGACTTTCATTTCCATGTGAACTTAAAACACCTGCTTGTAAAGGTATAGTAGGGGGCTGCACTGGTACGGATTCAAATTGCAAAGGTGTTTTGCTTTCTTGCATAGGCCCATCAATCCAAGTTTCACGTTTTTTCACTTGTGTTTCTTTAATTATGTGTCTCGCTTCAACTAACCTAGATTTTGATATTCTTGGACCGTCAATCCAATGTTCGTCACTAGAACTTTTACCTTCTTCTGAGAAAGATTTAACGCAAGTTTTCTTTAGAGGAGCTGCTTTTGACGCTGCTGAATGCACAGGAGAGGACTTAGGTGTTTGACTTATTGGTTGAATTCCAGTTTTCATAGGTGATGCTTTTGGTGAAGAATGTAATTTGTGAATAGGACTTTTTTCTTCTATAACTTTCGATAAGGATGATTTATGTCTTTGTTCTGCTGCAGATCCTCGAAGAGCTTTGCTTAGGACACATCTATTATCTCCTGAATTTATATGTGGTATGTAAACAGGTGGATGTTCTCCGTCAGTAGCGTCATCCATCGGTCCTACATAAATCACCGTATCAGCAGATAAGTCACTACTAGACGGATCGGGCTCACTGCTGCTGGGTTTTGATGCATCTTCACCAGAACTACCTCCGGATCCTGCGTTATTATTTGAGGAATATTTCATTTTTCTTCGCCGTAATCTATGTATTCTTGATGCCAATTGCAGTGTTGTAAGAGTGTCTGAATAATTTTGTATATTTGGCGAAACGTGAACAATCATAGCTGTATGACAAGTCAATGAACCGAGACACTCTTTGAGGACATGTGTTAAGTTATGATCACGATATGGTAAATGTCTTTGTCCATTGAATATAGCGAGTAGGATATTGCCTAAGCCTGATAGAGGTATTCCTCCATTACTTTTTCCTCTTTCTGAATTTCCTAAGTCGATAAGATGTAAACGGCTCCGTCCACCAGCAACTGTAAACAAAAGAATCTTGATGTTATTGACTCAATCATTGAAAAAAAAAATATCGCTATTGAAAAAAGTTACTAACCAGCTCCCTTTCCTCCCACACTGTATTGGTAAACATGCAGTGTGTACAACAGATGACTGTCTTTTCCCTCTTCTTTCGCACCTCTAGTGGCCAGTGCTGCGTCGAGGTAGAATGCGGCCTTTTCGGCGCTATGGACGCGTAGTTCTGATTGATTTTGTAAATGAGTGCCGAATAGTGGATCATCTCTTAGATAAACTCCTGGTGATTGCTCTGTATCTGTAAACAAAAGATAATCATAAAGGATTTGCAAAGAGCTATTGTTAGTACAATATTAGTTTAGTATTATTTTAGTATCTGTTCATTTTAGAAATGCTTGTAAATGACACTGTGTCAAGGCTTTAATTTTCTTTGTTTAATGTATCCCATACCATTCTGATAAGGTGCAAGCAGGTCTCGTATCTGGTTGGTGTTGGTGCAGAGTTCAACAGCGGAGACCCTGACGGAGAAGCGCGTGCCGCACTTGTGGCGCTGCTCGGCGATACCACGGAAGAGCCACGCGATTGCGCACGGGATGGCGCCCAACGTGCCCGCCGCCTCCGGTCGCCCCAGCATTGTGTACGATTTACCTGATAAGATAGATTTTATATAAATACATTATTGAATTTGCGTAACATCTTTGAGGTGCCTTTTCAATAACATTTGTGTCTAGACTCCTATGTTTATGTTTTGTTTATGATGGCATCTACAAGATAATTAAAACGAAGATCGAATTATTCAGTCAGTTGGTTCTTCAATCCCCAAAATAAGCGGGATGTTGCACTAAGCCAGGTTTCGGCAAAATTTGAGCCGCGCTCGCTTCGAAAGTTTCATTTAGCGGGAGCTCTCATTCAATTTGCATTTAAAACCGTAATCCTTGAGGTAGGGGTAAGATTTACAACGCCCCAGAAATAGCTTCTTACTCTCAACGCTTCTGTTGATTACAGAAATTAATGTAAGACTGAGTAAATATAGAATTTGAATTATCACGAAATACTAACAGAGACATATTTCATGTTCAACATTTTGTCAATTACGTCTCAAACTTCAGTCTGCGAGTTAAAGTGTGTTTTTTTTAAGTATTGGTGAGATTGTTAACATTGTTGTGTTTTAAACAACAATATCAACAATACCAATCGTAATTTACAAAGTTCAGTTAAATGTATGCAAACTTTTCCACATTTTAATGATTTAACGTGCATTCGTAGAAAAGTTGAATCCGCAAATAGATATATGAGCCGGCTCGCACCTTCCGGGTGTTTATCAAACTTTCAATTAAGACCCAGCCCGGCTCTTTCCCATTTCAATGTAAATTCCGTGCGGCGTGGCGGCCGGGAGAACTTTCGAGAAGTAGTGTTCTCATAAATAGTGCAACGAGCTCGGAGTGAATATTTTAACATCTGCCTGAATTAGATGTTTTGATTAACGCTATAAATGTTTCGCGCTTCATTGTATGAGTTAAATTTAATACTATACATTTATAGCGAGAATAATTGAGGGCCATTTTGTATTCTGTTATTAAAATGCATTTGATTTCATCGCACGGAGTTTTATTATTTCATTAAGATGATAGTAATGATTATTTTCTTGGCTTTTTATACAAGAGTATTTTAACGTTAAAATATTTGAGTAACGAGTACCACGACACAAACAAAAACGATTAAAAATCTCATAACAGCATTAAATATTACTTTTTCGAAAATACCGCTGCAACTAACTTTTCCATTTGCACGAAAATTCACGAAATAAACTCGGTCACTTGTGTTCATAAATTTCAACAACAAGTAAATTTATGCGTTAAATTTTGAAACGAGGACTTTTAATTAATGGTTTGAATTCGACAAACTTTATTTGACATCACGGCAAAGGGGAATTCTGTTGCAAATGTTCATAAGTATATTTATTACAAAGGTGCAGTAAAATTAATTAAAACGCGAGTACTGCATAAAAATACAAACAAAACGGAAACAGGTCACGGGATTTTAGGTATTAATATTCAACTTCGTATATGGTAGGGTAGAATGAAAATATAATGGTTACATTAGGGACATTGCAGCATCGACATTTCACCTAATTTACAAAATAGGGACGCTAACTCCCTTTCTGGTCCATATTAGCTTGTCCCTTACTCTAGGTTCTACAAGTAACGTTGCTTGTTATAAACGGTTGCTATGGTGATGTCCAAGATAGTCAATTGTTTGTCCTCACCTAGTCCTGCGTGTCCGAAGCAGAAGAGGCAACCGTCGGTGCCGTTGATGACGGCATGGATGACGTCAGTTAGCGCGCTCGAGCAAATCTCCGTCTGCAACAAAGATTAGAGACATTATAGAAAAAAAATAGTTGTTTTAAGTTTACATATTAAGGGAATATATTCTAATTGACTTTTCATCCTAAATTCTTAGGTATTTTTCCTTCTATTATGTGAAGTAATTATGTTAAGTTGTTATATTAACTTTTTATTTTAACGGAAAATAATTTCCTTTTTGTATAATATTAAATCAAAATCACAAAGTTATCAAAGTCTAAGTATCTAATAAAACGAGTGAGTGGTATGTAAAGTGGGCAAAGTGAACATAATGTTATGAATAATTTAAGTAAATCCGGCGCTTACGCTGGCGTTAAGCTGCGCTAAGTTGCGCTAAGCTAGACTCGCCGGTGTTTTCTTTCGGAGATTCCCGGATAATTAAGCAGACTTACTCCTCGCGTATTAGAATGTTGTGAATTAAATTTTACTGTAAAGTGAGATATAGATATTCCACTTTAGAACATATCTCTGTTTTGTTATAAAAATCTAAAGAGAATGCCTTCGAAGTTAATCAATTATAAATCATTTAAAATGTGCAAGGTTTTTTTTTGGTCTAGGATCGTTTTTTAATCGGCATGGAGAGAATTATGCTTTGAGTGTTAAAAATGTGTTTGTGTCAATACAAAATTTTTCAAATAGTACTTGAAGTTAATTATTATATTTATCCTCGTTTCTTATTTACAAATGTGGTCACCCCACACGAGGGTAGAACAAACGTTAAGGAAATATTAAAATAATTTCGAACGAGTGTTTTGATAAGGCCTCCCGTACTTAATTGAAAATACTTAAATACGAGGAAGAGAAAGTTAATTGAAATAATGAGATATTACCTTTGAAGATTATTGAAAATAAAATAAAATTAGTTAAGAGAATTATTTAAGATTATATGAAGACTTTAACATATTTATTGATGCGTAATTATTATTGCAAATTTACAATATATTTCTATAACTAATTTAGTATCTCAAATCGGATAGTTTTGTATAAAAAGGATAGAAATAACTAACTATATGTAGAAGAGGGATAATGGCGTCTTCTCAGACTCGGTATCATAAATGACAGAAGTACAAGCGATGTTTTTTCCGCGATTTCAAATAAATTGCACAATGAAAGTGACCTCGTTACCAGAATAGTTAAAAAACTACGTAATGTAGTTTTTTTTCTATAGTGACGTATTGAAAAGAGTTGCAACGCAACCCGCTGTGACCCGTTTCTATCCGACAGCTAGATAAAAATACGCAGTTATTTATTTTGCACTACGTGTGCAAATAATAAATATCCTTGTGACTCTTTACAGATAAAAAAAAGTAAGGTGTAATATTTGTTGCATATTTTTTGATTATAATTACTAACGACCCAATATTGAAATATTTTAATATGTAAGCGTCTTAAATGATATAGCCACGTTTAATTTCCACAATAATCTTAACGTTTGTGAGATTATAAATGGCACATAAGAAGTAACGCAGTTTTTAGCATTGTTTTCATATTAATAACCTACCAATTAGACATGCATTATTTAGTTTGTTAAAATATTGTAATGTCATTGGAAGCACTTCAAAATCTAATCACAGTTGCAACCATCATGGCCATCAGTGGACTGCTAGGAAACAATTTGGACAGTACAATGTACAGCTGAAACAATAACGTATAATGTCGGGGTGGATTTAGCCGTCATTGGGGTGGGCAGTGCAGTGCGTTGGCAGCGACGCGAGGTAAGCCTCTAAGCCTGCCGCCCTGCCCACTGCCCACTGTCCGTTGAATTATTGCTGGATAACTTCGACGTATGTGTTGTATAATTCGTAATTCAAAGCGCGTAAGATTGTATGAAAGAAAGTAATTTGTTTATCCTAGCCCAGAAATAAATTACCTTAAATTATATATCGTTTTAAGAGCTCATGCTTTGCTTTAAATCTACTAAAGCTTATAAACGTATTTTTCAATTTATACAGTATTTAAATACTATTAGAATGCCCAAGTCTTCCAATTTGTTCTCGGTAATAAACTTATACGGTTCGTAGATCACTTTGGCACTAAACGTCTACGGCGTAGACATAGCTACGAGTAGAGGCAATGTTTACTGGCGAGTGTTAACTTTATCAGAGAACGGGAAGCGGCAGTCTAATTCGTGCCTCGTATGACACAAACCGCACGGATTTCGCTCCACAATTCCATTAATATTGTGTAATCCCTTTATCCGCCCTCGCTGCGACTGCGTCAGCCACTTACCAAAGCTTAATTTGTAGGTATTGTAATTACCTTTGTACTTAATTCAAATTAGTTTTGCATTCGCTTGTTTTCGAACGTTTTATGATACTGAAACCAACGCAGTAAACGCTCCATATGAGCTATAACTTGTTTATAATCGTAGTAATGGTAACATTGAAATTGAAATCTATTGAAAGGGATTTATTTGTGTTTGTCTATTGTAAAACAATAATTTCTACTAATGAAAACAAAAATTTAAACAATATTTAATAAGATTTCACACCTGACTGGACTTTAAAACATTCTTAAAATTAATATCGTATTGTAAGTAATTTGAAAAATTTGCACTTTCGCAAAAAAATCTGAAGTATACTGAACTGTTACCGATTTTCGAACGATCCATTCTCGGCGTTCTAACAATTTAAACATGAAATTTCGCTACGGGACGTAGATATTTTTGCGCATGAATTTCCACTGTCGGGGAATGCGACAGCCGCTGCACGACCACCTGCGTTATGAAAGCGCAACCAACGCTCTGATATTTTAATGGATTTAACATTTTTCTACGTTATAATGTCAAGAATTTTTCAAATAATTATAGAAAGTTGTTCGTAAGTCGCGTCTTTTAAAGATCATATCAACATACTTGTTTCTTTTCAAGATTTGTTATTCCAAAGGCAACAGAGTACCACATTTTATTAAATTAACACTTAAAAACATCGTACTCGCTACAAAATGACCAGTTTAAAAATAATAAAGTTTCTTAAGAAGACGAGCTTAAGGAACTAAAACTTTGTCGTTAAGTATTCCTTTTTATTTCATCCGGTCTAAGGGAGTTGTGAAGGAATGTCACAAAGTACGGCATGTCCCTAATATCTGATGTGAAGCATTATTTAATATTTTAATAATGGATTTCATGTCGGAGCGGATTCTGTAACTGGAGCGAAGCAATGCCAGCTCTTAAATGTAATGGGACTTGATATATTTTATGGAACATACTTTGATTTTTTGCGAATGAAATAATCAAGGAAACATCGTTACACGACACACTAAATAGACATAAGAAACAAATTTTAAGCTACATGTGTTTATTTATAACTAGCTGTTGCCCGCTACTCTGTCCGCGTGGAATTAAAAAAAAAACAAAAGTGGCATAGGTAGCCTATGTGTTCTTCCAGACTGTCTTCTACATTTATACCAAATTTCATCGAAATGCGTTCAGCCATTTAGGCTACAAACTCTAATAGACATCCATCCATCTATCCATTCATCCATCCATCTAAACTTTCGCATTTATAATATTAGTATTATTAAAGGTTTACTAGAGTCGAATTGATCAGTTTAAACTGTGCAAGACGAAATTCTAAGAGCGGGCGCACAGCTTTGACTACACTATCGCATTACTGTTGTGCGATTGTCGATTGTTTCGAAGCATATTCAACTGTTTAGTTGCATAATGTGCGATAGTTTAGTTAAAGATGCGCGCACGCTCTTTCTGTTAGTTGAACTGTGCAGTTCAAACTGTCAGAGCTGAGTGTATGTATCGAGCTTAAGAAGTGTCAAAGTGTTACCTGTGAATCATCTTGCGAGAATATAGCATCGAAAGCGAACATCTTAGGCGCGGCCACGCCGACCTTCCTATCTTCGGGGGCAGAGGCGCTGGGTGCCGTCTCGCAAAGAGTCACCTGCCGCTTGCGCTTGTCCAGAGAGAACGTCTGCGTTCCGCTGGTGAACGGACCTTCGCCTGATGCACCCACACGTAGCATCACTTTCACCTATAACAAGAACAAGAGCTCAGTTAAAAATTGAACATTATAAATTGTGAAAAAAAGTTTTCAATGTGGATATATTAGTTAACATTGCCAACTAATCCACAATTAAACACAGATTAAGATGGTTCGAACACT